TTAATAATAAAACTAGAATTTTTATATAAAAAATAATAGTTATAGTTTAAACCTCTTAACTCAAAATCCTCGATAATTATAATCAATATTTTAAATTATCACAATGTATTTGCAAATAATAAAAAGTCTATTAGCTAAATATTATTTTTAGTTAGTAAACCTCTTGAATTAATTGGATTCGATGATGATTAAAATTTTAAATTAAAAGAATTACAGTTTAAAAAATCAGATTTTCAGAACGAAAGTTTTTAATATTTTTTTTTTTTACGTTTTCTTTTATTATTAACATTTCTTTTTTTTTAATTTAGATCAAATAGTAAAAATTATTACATTATATAAATCATTACAAAAAATTAAATTTATTAAACGATATATTGTTAGCCTTTATAATTTAAATTACAAAGTTACCAAGTCTCGCTATGTGGAAGCCAACATATCATGAGACTCTAAAGGTGAAGAACATATTCGTAGGCACCAACCCGTACTAAGAGATTCTCACTCATGCGAATTGAACAATAGCCTCAACAGAGTAAGTTGTAGGTTATACCCCAGGTCAGGTTCAGGGTAGTGCTCTCCCGTTACCTTTCACAAGAATCATCTGTAATCAAATCGGAATGACCAGACCGTCTATAGCTATGTATGGTTAATATCGCACGAGATTCAGAATCATCTCGTAACAATATGCCCTGGAATACTTGGCTTCGGAGAACGAATCTCCTAATAGTCCCAACTGCCACGAAGAGGTGTATTCCTTAGTTGGGGTAAAATACAAATCCAGCACAATTACGAAATCACAACATCATAGTAACAACGATGTAATGTTGATATAATTATGATATATCATATTATACCTAAAAATAAAAGAAAAAATTAGAATAAAATAATTTAATAATAAAATAAAAATAAAAATCATATTTTCTATTCAAGATCCTATTATTGTGTTGAAACAATATAAAAATATAAAACCCTAAAAATAATGAAAAAAAACCAAAGAACAATGAATCTAAAAGTCCTGAAGCAAAAGAACAAATATAAATAAAGGAACATAAAAAAAGAACAAACAAAAAAAAATTGAAAACTCAAAGAACATACCAAATATTCATTCAAACGAAGCCAATATATTCAAGATTCT